GGTGGAAAATGTGTGGCCATCAACAAAGATGTTTTTGAAGAGGAGGTGCTGGGCAGGGCAGGACCTCAGAGGCTTTTTGACACACAGAAAATGAAAAGTTTCATGCGACAGCTGAATGCATATGGATTCACCAAAACAAAACGGGATGACCAGAGATCTGCCTCCCTGCCCGAATTCCTGGCAGAGGAAGCAGCAGTTTCTGCTCACAGGCAGGTAGAGCAGCTGCTTTGCACATCAACTAATGATTGTAATAGTCTTGGGGGAAAGGCAGACCTTCCCAGAATGACCTTATTAGGTCTCATCACAGAGGGCCATTTGTGGGTGGAGAAGCCATTTCTTACAAGGGGTCTCATAAAAAGGAGGGCAGAGAGTGATAGGACAAGGGACAATGGTTTTATACTGAAAGAGGACAGGTTTAGACTGGAAGAAATGCTTTACTGCGAGGATGGTGAGGCACTGGAACAGGTTGCTGAGAGAGGTTGTAGATGTAGATTTCTGTAAGTGTTCAAGGCCAGGCTGGCTGGGTCCCTGAGTAATCTGATTTATTGAGTGGCATCCCTGCCCAAGGCAGGGTGGTTGGAACAAGACAATCTTGAAGGTCTCTTCCAACACAAACCATTCTGTAATTCTGTGATGGAGGATATGGAGGTGGGAATGAGAGGTCTGGTTTTCATTTCCTTCTCAGGCAGGTGATCTTTGTGACTACTAGAAATGCAGATAAGAGACAGTTTGGTGAGATCTGCTGAGGCTGAGCTCATGAAAGGGAAAGACAGGCTCAGCATAACCTGATTTGTCTTTGCTCTGTGTTTTGCTGTACCAAATCTGAAGCCTTCCAGCAGCACCTGCTGAATGCTGAGCAAATGCATCTAAGGAGCACAGGGTTACCTGACTGCTCATGTCCACACTGAAGCTGCTCAAAAACAGTGATATTTGGCTTTTGAAAGCAGTTGTTCTGCTTTTGAAAAGCCTACATTGCTCTGCCCCCAGAGGGGAAAACCCCAGGGGTAGGATGACTGAACACAATTATCACATAATGCTTTAGCCTGAGCTTTAGGTTCCATACAGCTCTCAGAGCCCTTTTCTGTGTCCCTGCTCCTCTTTTGCAATTCAGAGTCCTAGTTCTTGTAGCTTGGGATTTTCCATCTTGGGATGGTGGCAACTAACTCTTCTCCTTTGCCTGTTTCAGATCCTCTACTACTATAACCCCTGCTTTAACCGAGCACATCCCTGGCTGCTGGAAAGGTGCATGAGGAGAGCTGCCCCCAAACGGAGAGCCCCACGTGCAGCAGAGATGGATGGAAAACCCCTCAGACACCCAGTCAGTCAGCCTGGGCACTGAGGGCAAGCAGGACTGGGCTTCACGCAGTTCTCCACCCGTGAGGACTGCACTGACCAAGGGATGGGCTGAAGGATCTCCCAGCATCTGCAGCCCCAGCCCTGCACGTGGACCCCAGGCGTGGCACATCCCGGAACCGCTGAGAGTCGGCAGCCAGCTGATAACTTCTAATTAAAAGCGTTACTAGATAGAGCCGAATGGAATTGGAATCCATCCGTTTTAGTTAAGTCAGTATTATACCGATGGAAGAACAACCTTTCTCAGTTGTCCTCAGCTCTTTGCACAACCCCGGGGTGAGACCCTATTTGAACACCCACAGAGCTCAGCAGAGGCAGCTCATCCGCCACCAGCTGAGCCCTTTATTGCAAGAGCCCAACCTGGGTTCTTAGCCCTAGAGAGCACGAGTGGGTGTTGCTGCACTGGCCGAGACCCAAGGACCGATCCCCTCCACCAGCCTCCGGACCCGCCCGGCCCCGAGAGCAGGAGTCGGGCGGTTGGGCACTGCAACAGGCACCACGCCTGCCCATCGGGTAACCGATGCAACAGCGCGGGAAGGAGCCTTCCCTAGCGCCGCGAGCACCCTG